AATCAGTGATCGTAATGGGCCCTCAACAGCTGCATGCACAGGCGGACATAGGCCTTGGTGCTCGCTATTATGCTGCTGTATGATAGTCTGTGGAGGCTGCCAACTCAAAATGCCTATAATGTTCCAATGGGACAAAAGGTGATACAATTGTTCCCCGGACTTTAGTGCTGAGAACTCTGTAAGGGGAATAAGCCTCTCCACAGTCGTGCAGATCTGAGTTTCACACTGCTTCAATTGCTCAAAATGGCAGCCGCTGTTAATTCACACGCCAAAAGCACAGCAGCAACCCTCGCCTCGTTAACAGCCAGAAATGGCTGAAAACTGTACTGGTAGGTGCGGAGGGGAGAGTTAGAGCGCTGATGTAAGGGTGGCAGCCATTTAGATGATTCTGACTGTTTTTCTTGTGATTAAAAGATGCAGTTTAAGCAACTTTTACTTGACAGTGTGGTTATTAAATAATTACTTTTATCTGCTAAATATATTTATCTAAAATGAAAGTATTCTATTTTTAAAGAATCTTATAACTTTAGAGGCCTTAAAATGGAATGTGACACAAATTTAATATGAAACGTGCCGAACACATAAAAAGTCATGGACCAAAGATTTGTTTCATGTATTATGATTGCAGTCTTCCATTCAATCTATTCTATTCAGTCACTATTCAAATGTAACTAAGGCCTAAAATGGTAAAATGGAAATATTTAATCCCATAATTTAAAATTACCAAAATCTCATTAGTGACTTTCATCATTATTGGAGGATGTTCCTTTTATTATAGAACACATAAAAACAGAAAAAAATATGCGTATTTATTTTCATGGAACCAAGTTCTTTCCCATTCTATTTTTTAAATATTCTTTTGAACCAATTTTATTTTTATATGTCTTATGTATTCGCATGCATTATTGCAATTGTATCACTTACCTATTCTTAAATGGTTGACTTTCCCTCCCCCTACCAATAAGTGCTGACAACATATGAAGTAAAGAAGTTAGGTGATTATGTCATCAGTATACTGATGACATGTAGCTCTTAAGCCCCTTTTCATCACATCCAAGGAGTGTTTCCTTTGGGTTTCATTGCATACTTTGGAAGAGATAAGGAATTAATTTAAGAGTCTGTTGGCTGACATGTAATGCATAGAAAACTAAGTCAAATAATAGCAACTAGCTTGAAGGAAGCCTGATATATTTGACAGACAAAATTATTTGCTTCCTGCTCTATTTGACAGACAAAATTTCTTCCTTATTTGTAAATTATTTCCAAGGAATTCAGGTGGGATATACAAAATCTCCTGAACTTTCAGAACAATTCTGTGAGATACACTAATCTGAAAAACTGTAAATGTTGCTTTTTATGAAATTGTTGTAAACCTGGTATGCTGTTATTATAGATGGCATAAGACTTTTTCATATGAAAAATAATATTTCTATCAAACCTATCATGGTAGGTTTATGTGTAATAAAATCCCACAGCACATTAAAAATATTTTTTTAAGTTTGACAATTGTCAAACAATCATCTGAATTGTCAGACAATCATCTGCTCCTTTAATTTATAACTATCTGTATCCATTTTTTATCTGCAACTGTTCATTTCTATAAACCACACAATGTATAACTGCCAACGTCACTGAATGACTCTTTCAAGTGTTGGGCAAAGCACTATTGTTGAAAATGTTGTATAGCCATGTAGGAGTGTTTCTGGAATGTGTCATGATAGTAAAGTTTACTTTCATGAACTTAAACTTGATTTGCTTGTATGTGTTTACATATTTTGTGTAATAGGTTACTGTGGTCCCAAACAAATACGAGCTGAGAGGTTTCTTGGAATATTTTGTGTATCAAAACCAATTTTTTGGTTAGTTTTCTATTTACCATAGCTTGTCTTTGAATCACATTTATGCCTAACTTTTGTTTTGTCTGCTTTGAACACAGAACACTGTCTATCATTTGCTACTTTACCTCCAGCCTCAGTGGACAGAGACCAAAAAAAGATCTTTGTACAATGCATATTAGGAAGAAAGTTATAGAACGATACTCCAAATATTCTAGCATATAACAATGGAATAGAATTAGACATAATAGAAAATTCAGCGCGCTTACCAGCATAAGAATCAAACTGAAGTCCTGTAATAACAATTGTAATTAATTAAACTTTGCTACATTCCAGACGATTTCATTGTAGACATAGACAAGTAAAAAGCAAATTACTTTAGTTTCAGGCTAGGCCTCACAAAGAGTAATAAGTGAGGCTATGAGCTCTGCATGCCAAGTTCAACAGTAGAGTATATGATGTCATTTATGGTCGTTTGATTCAATTGCAGAATCACAGCAGATGCATAAATATTACTGAGATGTTATATCTCTCCCCCCTCCATTAGAATTGAGAATAAGGCATTTAAAGCTGACACAATCTCTACATTTTAGGTGAAATCTTTCTGTATAACTTACATACAGTACACTTTCCCCTTAGTAATACACTTAAATACACTTACATGCAGTTTTATTTTGTTTTATCTACCATGTGATATGTAATTTAATAACATTTAATGGTTTATGTAGCCTTACTAAATGGCACACAGACACAGAGACAGACAGACGCACGCGCGTGTGTGTGCGCGCACACACACACACACACACACACACACATCCCTTTTCACCTCTATGGATAGTATGTATCTTCATCAATCCTGAGTCTTCTGCCAGAGGCCTGGGAATTTGAGGGACAGCTAAGATTCTGCTTAGAATCTTAGCTGTTCCTAGCACTACATTCTTTTGGTTAGAAACTCTTTCTGCCATCTGTTGGAGTCCCTCTTAGGAGATATGGCTCCAAGTGTTTCTACTACCACTAGGACCACTTTGACCTTTACTTTCCACATCCTGTCTAATATCTCCTTCAGGTCCCGGTACTTTTCCAGTTTCTCATATTCTTTCCTGATTTACTGTCTCTTGGCATTGCTACATCTATCCTGTGCAGAAGTTCCCATACACAATGGCAGCTACTTGGTTTTGCCATTCAGTGTATGATGTTCTTTCTGCATTTGCACCATGTCACTATGTGTTGAAATATCTCTGAAGCCTATTTGCACAGTCTGCAGCTTGAATCCTGTGCAGTGTGGTGGGGCCCCTCTTTCTATGGATCTGTTGCTCAGAACCTACTCCTGGGCTGCTATGATCAGTGCTTCAGTGCTGTCTTTTAGTACAGCCCTTTCCAGATTTTCCAATGTCTTTAATTTCAACTATTTATTGAAGGTACATACCATATTATTTTTAAAGGGATACTAACCCTTCATTCACACATCAGATAGCCAAGTATCATAATAAAGATACTTGAATTGGATCTCTCGTACACATTTAGCATACAGGTTCATGTCATCCATGTAAAGAAGGTGAATGGTGGTAATGCAGTCTTGAACTTGTATCCATATCCATTCCTTATGATTAAAGGGGTTCAAACATATGCAAATAGTAGCAGTGCATCAACTTGGTATATGATATATGCTGCATTTGTGGCCGAGTTGTGTGAGCTATCTTGAGTTCACTTCCAGTATAGTGTTCCATAGTTCCATCGACTTCTTGAAAAAAAACTATTTGGTATCCTATCCTTTTATAGGACCAGACATTCACAAGTCCATCTGTATAGCATTGTAAAGGCTTTGCTGTACTGAATCCAGGCTAATCTCAGATTGTCTGTCTGGTACAACTTTTGTACTTCTTAGGAGAATATTCATTTGAGTTATAGTGGTAGTAAAGATTGTCAGCCATATTCTATGTCACATAGTAACTGATGATAATTCTCCACTGAACTTTGGTAATCAGTCTTAAGGGTTGTCTTTATGTAGATTATCCATGATCTTATGCCTCATAAGAGCTGCTGTTCTCTATAATGGGAGGAGTAGGAATGAAATTCCAGTTTCAGTTGTCGGTTGTACATCCAATTGTTTTGCTGTGTCTTCTTGAGTCAGGGCTATAATGTGTAGTTGGTGTATCTCAAATTGAAAGAGCAGTTTTTACTGTGTTGAAGCATTGAGGAAGTCTTTGCCTAAGGACCCCTGCTGGTATGGTAGGTGTATATATACTATAGCAATTCTATGTAGTGACTAGATTGTGTAATCCAACACTATTACTACATTTTAACTGGCTAATTATTGGGAATTGAATGCAGTTTCTTGCCATAGTAAGATGGTACATGTTTAGCATATATTAAAAACTACCAGAACATCCTTGGCTGAGAAATTTAAGCCATTTCTGTGTGAAAGTATAATGTTGCAGGATCCAACATCATCACCGGAACCATAAGTTTAGTCCTCTGAGCTTTCTAACTTGCTGGAACCCATCTTCATGGAACTTCTCCTTAATAGACTGTGTGCTTTGGGAAATTCTGAGGTTTAGTCTTCTGAGCTTTCATATTCATGCTGGAGCCCATCTTCAGGGAATTTCTCTCGAGAAACTTCTGTCCTCTGAGAAACTTCTGTCTTCTGCAAAGCACGCACACTGCTAGAAAGAAGCTCCCTGAAGATAGGTTCCAGCAAGTTAGAAAGCTCAAAAGACTAAACCTCTGGTCCCGATGATGATCCTGATTGGATTCTGCACTATTCCTATATATGTGATATGTTTCCTATCTCATCTTCTAAGGCCATATTTGGGGATTCTAAAAACATTAAATGGTGGGAAAAAGAAATTGTGTGTATCTATTAATGCAGTATATATATAAACAAACATACCTGAGGTAACAAAAGCAGATTGAAGGTTCCACTTTTCACTATCTATAAAGTAAAATCCCTCTTTATTTCAAGAAAAGCAACAGAATGGAAGGTTAGAAACTTAATTTAATATACCCTATATTAGCTTTGAATAACATAGTTCATTATACAAATCCTTGTGGCACAATGGTTAGAATGCACTACTTTAGGCTAGTTCTGCCCACAATCTGGAGTTCGATCCTGACAGGCTCAAGGTTGTCTCCGATTGTTGGGGGCAATATGCTAACATTTTAAACTTCTCAGAGAGTGCTGTAAGGCACTGTAGGGCAATATATAAGTCTAAGTGCTATTGTTATTGCTATTGCTATATATATGTTTGCCACTTAATTTGCTTTATGTTTAACCTGGAGATGTGTACATGAATCCACAAAAGAAGTAATTTTTGTTGTGACCCCGGAATTAGTCTGGTGTTTGTCTGATGTTATCATATGGTACCTTGTAGCTCTTATTGAGTCATTCTTCATGAAGCACAATTTAAAAACTCATGGTTTGCTATGTGTAGTTAATCGTGTTAATTTCTATGGAATAAAACAATGTAACTTTCTTCATAGTAATGGCTATTATTCTTTTATAACAAGATACCTACTGTGAAGAAAAAATACAAAATACAGGTGAAACTTGAAAAATTAGAATATCGTACAAAAGTTCATTTATTTCAGTAATGCAACTTAAAAGGTGAAACTAATATATGGGATAGACTCATTACATGCAAAGCAAGATAGTTCAAGCCATGATTTGTCATAATTGAGATGATTATGGCTTACAGCTCATGAAAATCCCAAATCCACAATCTCAGAAAATTAGAATATTACATGCAATCAATACAACAAGGATTGTACGTAGAACAATATCAGACCTCTGAAAAGTATAAGCATGCATATGTACTCAGTATTTGGTTTGGGCCACTTGCAGCAATTACTGCCTCAGTGCAGCGTGGCATGGAAGCTATCAGCCTGTGGCACTGCTGAGGTGTTATGGAAGACAAGGATGCTTCAATAACGGCCTTCAGCTCTTCTGCATTGTTTGGTCTCATGTCTCTCATCTTCCTCTTGGCAATGCCCCATAGATTCTCTATGGGGTTCAGGTCCAGCAAGTTTGCTGGCCAATCCAGCACAGTAATCCCACGGTCATTAACCAGGTTTTGGTGCTTTTGGCAATGTGGGCAGATGCCACGTCCTGCTGGAAAATGAAGTCAGTATCCCCATAAAGCTTGTCTGCAGAAGGAAGCATGAAGTGCTTCAAAATCTCCTGGTAGACAGCTGCATTGACCCTGGACTTAATGAAACACAGTGGACCAACACCAGCAGATGACATGGCTCCCCAAATCAACACAGACTGTGGAAACTTCACACTGGACTTCAAGCATCTTGCAGCGTGTGCCTCTCCATTCTTCCTCCAGACTCTGGGTCCTTGGTTTCCAAATGAGATGCAACAGTTGCTCTCATCAGAAAAGAGGACTTTGGACCACTGAGCAACAGACCAGTTCTGTTTTTCTTTAGCCCAGGTAAGACGCTTCTGATGCTGTTTGTTGTTCAGGAGCAGCTTGACAAGAGGAATACGACATTTGAAGCCCATGTCCAGGATCCATCTGTGTGTCGTGGCTCTTGATGCACTGACTCCAGCCTCAGTCCGCTCCTTGTGAAAGTCCCCAACACTTTTGAATGGCCTTTTCCTGACAATCTTCTCCAGGCTGCGGTCATCCCTGCTGCTTGTGCACCTTTTTCTTCCACACTTTTCCCTTCCACATAACTTTCTATTAATGTGCTTTGATACAGCACTTTGGGAACATCCAACTCCTTTTGCATTTACCTTTTGAGGCTTTCCCTCCTTATGGAGGGTGTCAGTGATGGTTTTTTGCACAACTGTCAGGTCAGCAGTCTTTCCCATGATTGTGCTTCCTACTGAACCAGACTGAGAGACCATTTAAAGGCTCGGGAACCCTTTGCAGGTGTTATGGCTTAATTAGCTGATTAAAGTGGGACACTTTGAGCCTAGAATATTGAACCTTTTCACAATATTCTAATTTTCTGAGATTGTGGATTTGGGTTTTTCATGAGCTGTAAGCCATAATCATCTCAATTATGACAAATCACGGCTTGAACTATCTTGCTATGCATGTAATGAGTCTATCTCATATATTAGTTTCACCTTTTAAGTTGCATTACTGAAATAAATGAACTTTTGCACAATATTCTAATTTTTCGAGTTTCACCTGTACATACTGTAATGATGTATATACTTCTCCCATGAGCTGTTCAGAGCATCCAGTGATGGGAGGTGCTTCAGTCTCTTCTAGGAAGGCTGGGCTTAAACTTGTGGACGCTCCTTCTCCTCCACGATACTCCTCCTTAGTGTCCCCAGTTTTAGCTCAGCCTTTCTTCAGACAGGTTGTGTTATTGTTTTCCTGGTCGGAACAGAACACTGGCGATTTAGCTGATTTAGCTGATTTATTTCTCAGGTCAGGTACATAGTTTCTGTCACCAACTACCCCCCAACCCTGGGAACCTCCAAAAGTCATTTGCTCATTTTTTACGAGCACTCCATCCTCCCGAGGCTAAAGCCTCATAAACACGGTGGCTTATCTTTCCAATCTGCCCTGAGGCTAAATGCCTCTAATTTCAGAGCCGCAGCCTTAAATTTCTCAACAAGGAGACTTATCTCTCCGATCTCCCAGCCGGCTGAGTAAACGCTCCGCCTCCTCGAGGCTCGAAGCCTCAATTTAAACAGTGCAGCCTTTTTTCCTTTTATTACAAGGTTTTCCCTGCGGAATACCTCAGTGTAGGAAATTAGCCCCTGCGCCTTCCTGCTGAGCGGTTTTGCTTTCACCAGGCCAGGCGGTGATAGCTGCTTTCGTTTTCATTCTGCCATGAGGCGGCCACCATTTTAAATGGCCGCGTGGTTAAAATTGCTGAGTAATTGTGACAGTCTGTGAGGCAAGTTACCCAACAAGGTTTCCCTTCTTGGGGACCTGGGAAGGGGGGTCCCTACCACCAGTCCACTGGATGATAGAGGACTTGAACTGCTGGATTCCACAGGCAATAAGTGCAGCTAAACTGATCTAATTATCAGTTACAGACCTCTGTGCCATAGATGCTGGGTCTGAAGAGGTGTTCTGGTCTCCATATTTGATATTACAAGTATTTTATTCAAAAATTGACTTGATTGACTTAAATTCTACAAATATTTAAGTCATTAAAATAGATTTTGTGTGTGTGTGTGTGTGTGTGTGTGTGTGTGTGTGTGTGTGTGTAACAAAGCAAAACAGAACAAGGAGACAACATTTGCTAAAGGCATCGGGAAACTATTTATTCCAGGATCCCCTGCCCCTTAAGGGAGCAGGCCCCTAGGTGTTCCAGCCACCTAATTTCATAGTCTCTTTACATTGCTAATCTATCAAAGGCATTACCATGGCCAGCAACTACAACCCCAGATCTAGACTAACTTCTAAAAATAGAGATAAATCCATGGAGCCCAAAAAGACCTCTAAGTCAGCAGAGAAAGATGCATGCAGATGCCATCAGGCATGAGAAAGGCAGGTGGAAAAACGTACACGAGCAGCTGTACAACCCACCTCTTCACCACTCATCATACCCTCTACCTCACAGGCCCAGAACCTTCCAACCGTCCCTCTGGATTTATCCAGAAGGAGCAGCATATCGATACAACCTCCCCAGGAGGCTCTTTCTAACATTCTCTCCCCAAGGAGAGCCCCAGAGGCAACATTCACGCCAACTACAGCTGGCCTCAGACAAGAGGAGGAACTTCCGGAGGAAATCCCTGCCAACATGAGGGCGTGGATGGAGCTAGCTATTCAGAAGGGCATATCAGCAGGCGTCCAACAGGCTATTCAGGCAGGACGAACACTCGGCTTCGGTTTGTGGATCTCTTTCTGAACGATCTCTGGGCATCACGGATCCATATCTTTATCGGGTACCCCCTTGACATAACTATCATTGCCCACTGTCAGAGACCTCAGTACATACAGGATATGGGAGATCAAGGGTATCCAATGGATCAAATGGAGGAGGGGTCAGTACACACCATTGACCAGGTATTGTCACAGGTGGATCCGCTAGAAAAGGGGATGCCTGAGGATGAAGGTCTCTCACCTGACCTCCCCGTATTTACAGGATTATTCCATCCACAATTATTTAAATCCCTGCTGTTTAAGGCCAAGAACACCACACTGCTGGATAATACGGGTACCCCACCCCCACCAAATACACCAGGGGAAGCAGAGGATCTCATATTCCCTCAACCAGTCACTGAGGTTATCCCTGTGCCACACACGTTTTCCAATTTAGTGCCAAAACAATGGGCTGCAGCAGCCTCATATTCTGCTCCCACAGGACATGATAAAAAATATTATAATTTGGCAACGCGAGTTCTCTAAATGTCTAAGGAAGTGGACAAGCCTATCATTGTGCTTGCATCTTCCTCAGCCATCCCAAGTGAAGCTGAAGAGGCTCTCAAGCCTGAGGAAAAGAGGGCGGCACTAGCCCTCCGCAGGGCACTTGTCTTGGATGCATGGGCCATCAGAGCGACCACAGCTGCCTCCTTTTTCACCAGATCATCTCTCAGATGACTCCGCCACCTGAGGAGCTTCAAACATTCAGGCACATCAAGATGTGGCTAAATTAATCATCGCTGCAGAGTTTTTGGCAGATGCTACCTTCAGTGTAGTTAAATTTTCCTCTAGGGCCATTGCGTCCCAAATTGCAACTAGAAGGTTACTTTGGCTCAGGCATTGGCAGGCAGACTTCAAAGCACAAGTGGCGGCTAGCCTCAACTCCCATCTCAGAAACCGGTTGCAAGGCTTTGGCGGCGGCAGGAATCCGCTTCTCTGCGGGCCCCTGCTGCACTCGCCGCTGAGGTACCCCCGATCCAATTGGATTTGGGGGTTGTCGCTGCCCCGAAGAGGCAGCGGAAGACAGAGGAGATCCGGGCAGGGGTCTGGGGATATTGCACCCCCTTTCCCCAGCCGGCTAGACTCCTTTTTCCTGAGGCGGTGGAGCGGCTGTCAGAGATGGCAGCCACATAGGAATCTTCAACCGGATAAGAGTTGTGCAGGAGGAAGAATCAGAAGGAGAAGTTTTCTTGGCTGAACCGGGACATTAAGATACTTTTAAACACCCTGGAAACCTGACTTTTGGATTTATACATTTGTTTCCAAAAGAAGTTGTAAAAACGGCGAAAGTGCTGAAAGGAAAGTTCACTCCCCTTCCTTACGGAGAAAGCAAATGAGCACTGAAAAACCTGCTGCTTTAAGGTAAAAACAAGCTCTTTGTTATAAGTGGGAAGGAGAGGACTAAAAAAAAAAATCTTTTAAAACTGGTTGGAGGAGACGCTTTGAAGATTATAAGACCAACAACTAATTGTAATACGGCTTTAAAATATATTTGGGATTTTGCCCCAATTTGGCAGTGTGCTTGAGACCCGCTTAATTGAAACCAGAACCAAAAAGAAAATTCTTCCCTCTCTTTTTCGTCGATCAGAGTCCAGATCACCACAACTCTTTTGTAGGGGTTCCTTTCACCCCTTCTACCAACCCTACTATCCAAGATTTCAAAGACAGCCTGGATTCAGACAACAGACAGATAGAATTGAACCTGGGGACAAATATAGAAGGGGACTCCATCCTAGGAGACAATTTCGAGGAACAGGATCTAGGCCCTTCCGCAGCTTCAAGTAACGACCACAACGAGATTCCCATTGGTGGTTACCTAAAAATGTGTGCCGACCAATGGGACTCCTCTACCACTGACGCATGGGTCAGGAACACAGTACGATTTGTTCTGGCACTGGAGTTCAGCTCCACCCCCACCCCCCCGGATTTTTTTATTAAGTTTCCAATTTCCAGGGATGCAGAAAAAAGGTTTCTCATGGACACAGCCATAGCACATCTATTAGAGATCCGGGTCATACAACCCGTCCCTTCTAATCAAAAGGGTCTTGGTTTTTATTCACACCACTTCATGGTCCCTAAAAGTTCAGAGGGATGGAGGGCAATCCTGGACTTAAAACGTCTAAACCAATTTTTAGTTTACCGAAAATTTAAAATGACCACTCTCCAATCCATCTTACTCAGCATCAGAAAAAACGATGTCCTTACCTCCATGGACCTCATGGAAGCTTACTTACATATCCCAATTAGGCCCTCACATTTCAAATTCCTTCATTTCTGTTACAACAATGTCCAGACGGAGTCCCTCCCTTAGGACAGTGCCAAGCTTTGGTATATCCCATCACTGGATGCTCTGAACGGCTCATGGGAGAAAGGGCGTTGGTACTTTCCTGATATGCCCGTTCTCTGTGAGTTGTGAAGAGCATCCAGCCCCACCCTTTAATTCCGTCTGGTAGGGGGTCTGTTCCGGCCAGGTTTATTACATAGGCTTAAGCATATAGAGTATCAATACATCGGCTTTGCAAAACTGGGGACGCTAAGGAAGAGTCTTGTGGAGTAGGAAGAGTGTCCTCAAGTTTAAGCCCAGTCTTCCTAGAAGAGACTGAAGCACCTCCCATCACTGGATGCTCTTCACACCTCTCAGAGAACAGGCATATCAGGTAAGTACCAACGCCCTTTTTAAAATATTTCCAACATTAACATGATAATTAAAAAGAATTGTTCTGATTCAAGTAGACATACGGTATATTAAAGTTCATGTCTTGTAATTGTTGCATAATTCACTAGCTTTATGGTAAAAGAAAAGCTAGCTATGATATTTTTTTTTAAACTTTCAATTTAAAAGAACTCTTAAATTGCTTATGTTTTTGCCATGTTGAAATGGAATATGTATATATAAAAGTAAAGTATTCTGTTTCATGTCACCACGTTGGTTCCTCATTTTATACAAACATGCTTATTTTCTTTTTAAAGAATACATCAAGCGGTGGCTTAGATAAAATTAACTTCAGAAACATCTCACCATTTACTTTGGAAACAGTTCATCATAACTAGTGTTTGCTTTCTTATACGGTCCATTTGGTAACATGCTTAATTTCAGAATGCCTGGAGAGCAAATCATCTTTGTTATTTCCTTGGCAAGCAGGTTTTACAGATTCTGTAATTATATTTGTAGGATATCTTATAATTGTGTTAAGTTATGAATTGTTTGAAGTGTAAAGAGTAGCTTTTGAAGAAGTGATATGTCACAACAAGAATCTTTTAGGCTAGTTAAATGTAATGTTACAGATCTTTTTAGTCTCTGTTTATCTATCTATCTATCTACCTCCCTCCCTCCCTTTCTCTCTCTCTCTTTCTGCCAGTCCTATAAAATTATCTTTTTTACAT